TCGCTTATCAGTTTGAGCCCGATTGAGAAGCAGAGGATATTATTGCAGAACCTGTGCAAGCACAGTTTTTAATGGTAGGCCTATGTTTTTTGCTTGTTGTTGTCTCATACTTGTAGATATTCTGTTATTTGTAAATGCTACTGCTTATGTTAGCTTTTAATATACGGTTTTATCCAGATTAAAGCTTTAATACAGTATGGCAACTGCACGTGCATACATTTTTAATGCTTCTCATAGCTATGTGAAAATAAGTGTATAATTGGAACAGTTCATTGTTGGAGCTGAGCTGAATGAGAGAGAGAGAGAGAGAGAGCGAGAGAGCAAGAGAGAGAGATGCAGAGTGTGTGCAGAGCAGGGGGACGCACGGAACAGTATTAAGAACCGCTGCTTTAGAACATTGATTTTGAAACTTGTGAATCCATTAGAATCGTTAGAAGACAGAATCGCGATTCATATATGAATAGATTTTTACGTGCACCTCTAGTTTTCTCTTCCTCTTCTCTAAAGCAGCGCAGCATGGCCTCGCCCCTTTTGCTGCCTCTTCCCGAGGGCGGGGTTTAACTGGGTTTGTGATGTCACGAACCCGGGAAGTAACTTGTTGTAGTCCCTACCAGCCATTTTTGTAGGCATTAAACTGCCAGAATTTTAAAAGACGATATCTCCGTTTGCATTGAACTTTCAGCTTCGTAACTTTGCAGATATTGTTTATGCTCAAACAGCAACATTACACACTAACGTTAAAAAAGTGAAATCGCAATCAACCACCCCTTTAATCAATCACTAATAACTGATTTAATCAATCAGTAACAACCTGATAACCGATTTCAAACCATGTTTTTTTCACTGCAGTTTAAAGGTGAAAATATGAAAATATAAGTCATGTAACAGAAGTTATGGCTAACTTGATTTATGTATTGTGACATATTTCAGAGTGAAACCGCTTTTAGAATGTGAAAAATTATAGGGTGGGACTTGACTTTATTCACATAAATTCAAGGGTGGGGGAGAGTGTTGCTTGGACCTGAAGAGTCGAAAATGCACGTCTTATCTCTGATTGTGGCTGTTTTGAAATGTGTTTTGGGTTTTATAAGACAAATGGTTAGACCTTAGTCAGGGTAGCCAACATTTGGAATTTTTTTCTTGGATGAAAATGTGGCTGAGAGGTATAAACCTAGTCTTTACAATGGTGTACACTGTGTCTAAAAGCCCTATACTTTCCATAACCAGAGCTGGGTAGTAATTGATTACACGTAATCTGGATTATGTAATCAGATTCCAAAAATTCAGTACTTGTAATTAGATTAAATTACATTTTAAAATATTCGGAATCAGACTACAGCTATTTTTTTATTGATTACTTGATTACATATTATCTACGCAATAGCAATAAATGATTAATCATTTATTTATTCTCCCTAATTCCTTTTTATTATCTTTTAAAGGGCACCTATTATGCAAAATCCACTTTTACTTGGTATTTAGACGTAAATGTGTGTTGGCAGTGTGTGAACACAGCCACCCTAGAATGATAAAAATTCACCCACTTCTTATTTTTTAATCCCCAATAAAGCAAACCAGTCTCATTAGGCATGCCATTTTGATTCTCTTAGCATTATGACATCACAATGTTTAGGCCCCGCCCACGGCCGCTGACTGACAGTCCTGCATTAACGTAGTTTCTGCCCTCAGCGAGTTGTGGAGATCCCACGCTGAGGATGCACTCAAGGAGATGGAATGTCCTTACTGCGAGGATATGAGTCTCTTCTCTCTGCGCTCGTGGGCAGCTTTCTTCTCAGAAAGCTTTCTTCTCCCCTCACGCCCTCCCGTTTTCTTCCTCCCAGGAGACTGCAAGGAAAAAACAGCAGGGCAGAGGACCTCGGCGCCCGGAGACGAGCAAGCTCATGCCAGCCCCGCTCCTGCGTGCCCCACTCTCTCCACATAGAGAGGTATCCCCCGTCCTCTTGTCCCAGCCAGACCAGCATCCCTCCGCGGCTGCGGGCGATCTGGTCTCGTTTGGTGGGAGTGAGTGCGACACAAGTGCACTTGACGACAGCATGTCGTTACTGGCTTCGGACGCAGAGGAGCTGTCGGGGTCAATCAATGCCCCCGGCCCCCTGCCGACTACGGACCACAGCAAGCCCAAGCCAGGCATGGACGGCGAACTGATCCGCGTCCTGTCAAAGCTGTGGAGGAGCTGGCACTGGAGTGGTCTCCACCAGAAAAGCACACTCGCAGTCACCTGGATGAATGGTTCCTGCCGGGGCGCCGCCAGGCCCCTCGTCAACGAGCGTCACCATTCTTCCCGGAAGTTCATGATGAAATCGCCAAGTCGTGGCGCGCCCCCTACTCAGCTCGCCTACGTGCCTCCTCTTCCTCATGACGGTCGACGGCACTGAAGAGAAAGGGTACGATAAAATGCCTCCCCTGGATGAGTCTGTGGCCGCGCTTCTCTGCTCGCCCACGGCTATCGGCTGGAAAGTGAAGGTCACCTACCCATCCAAGCCATGCAGGATGACTTCAGCCCTCGCTGGAAGGGCCTACGCGTCTGCTGGACAAGCAGCTTCAGCACTCCATTCTATGGCAGTCCTAAAGGTCTATCAGGCCAAACTCCTCCAAGGCATGGATGAGTCTGGCCCAGACCTCGCAGCTTTCAAGCTTTCAAGCTTTTTCCCGGTCTCCCCCTCTGGCCTCTTCAGACATGCAGTTGAGGGATTCGCCGAGCGCTTTACTGCTGCACAGATGTCGTCCCAGGCAATGCGGCACTTCCTTCCCAAGCGCTCCAGCTCCACGGCTGCTTCTAGTCAGCCCAAATCAGCGCCGACTCAGCAGCCCGCGATGCCTGCACCTCCAGCCGCCCAGGCGGCTCCCAAGCCTGAGGCTCGCTAGTGCTCTCGCTCTGCCAGACGCTACCCATTTCCGAAGAGTCGGGGACCCCGGCCCAAGTTAGTGGTGGACCCAGCTCCTCAGGCAACCTCCTGATCTGCGGGAAAGGAAGAGGAGGGGGCCAAGTCTCACTACAGCCGGACCTTCCCCCAAGTAGCCTCTGTTGTGCCTCCAAGCACCCCGTTCAGTTCCGGGTGCCGACGGCAGTGTGTTTGTGAACACTAGGCCCATTCAAAAACCACCCACACAACCAGCCGCTGTTATAGCAGGAAAAATAAAACACAAACATTTTCAAAAAGAGAGCATATTTCCTATTCCGCTTACCACGAGTGTCGGGTCCCCACAAGATGATCCTCCACCCGAATTAATCCAACCCCTTGCCACACAGGCCGAGGCCTGGCAGGCCATCCCCGGTGTGTCAGACTGGGTTTTGGGGAAAATAAAACGAGGTTACACTCTTCAGTTCGCTCGAAGATCCCCGCGCTTCCATGGCGTGGTTCCCACCTTGGTTCAGAGCAAGGATGCTCACATCCTGCACTCCGAGGTGATGAATTTACTGGTGAAAGGAGTCATAGAAATGGTTCTCCCAGGTCAGAGCGAGTCAGGCTTTTACAGCCATTACTTCCTCGTTCCCAAAAAGGGTGGCAGTCTTCGACCCATCCTCGATCTAAGATGCCTGAACTGCGCCCTTATGAAATGGCCATTCAGGATGATTACTTTGAAACAGATCCTCTTGCAAGTGTGCCCAGGAGACTGGTTCTTTTCTCTGGATCTGAAGGACGCGTACTTTCACATCCAGATAGCCCCCCATCACAGACGATTCTTGAGATTCGCCTTCGAGGGAGTGGCATATCAATACACAGTCCTTCCATTCGGACTGTCCCTAGCGCCTCGCACTTTT